ACATACAAGAAAAAAATGCAAAAACAGGACTTGGATGCCCAGCGCTTGCAGGGGTGGGCTATCCAAAACAATACAGTGCAAAACAGAACAACAACATAACCGAAAAACAAAGAAAATAAAAAAGAAAAATTAAAAAAACAAAAGGTGTGTGTGTGTCGCTCTCGTTACAGCAATCGTATTTTGGCATAGCTGAGCACCCAACATACTGTAGGTCCCCCCTAAATTACAGGAACAATAACATTAATGAAGTTTAAGTGCCAGATCCAAACCCACTGAAGTCAGTTGGAGATGATTGCTATAAACAAAAACAAATTCTAGGCTAATTGGCAAGGGGTTATCAAACAAATAACATGGGGCTTGGCACTGCCCTGGTGAACATATACCAAAACAAAAAATTCTGCTTGGCAGGGAGCAGTGATTTAAATATTTAATAACACTTAAAAATCCTTTTAAATAACATGCTTGGAGAATTATTCTTATCCTAGATGAGGGGATGGTATAGACTGTAACGTCCCCCAGGTTAGCCAAATAGGCTGGGTTTTTGTTTTTTTTATGCAGAGGCTGAGTAGCAGCCTGGGATGCGTCAACCTGTGCGTAAAGTAGAGAGGTTACCTCAGGACAGGTTAGGGAGGTTCTTAAGGTCAGAGCCTCTGGAGCCCTCCCACCTCTCCAGGGACCAGAGAGCTTTCTGGAAGAGAGGCAGAGGAGGGGAGGAGGCCCAGATCTGCATGTTTGAGGGACCCTGGTCAATCCCCTGGCAGGAGGCTGGGCATGGTGTCAAGTGCAACACTCAAATGTGGCAGAGCCTGTGCAGCAGGGGCAGAGTTGGGTGGGAGATGGACTGAGAAGAAGGCTGGAGTGAGGAGCCTGGGAGGAGCAGCTTGGCACATGTCCTGAATTTGGTGGTGCAGCATTTCTTGAACAGTTACCCAGGCTCTTCTGAAGCAAGCCAGAAAAGTCTGTGGCCATTTCTTGCAGTCATACATGGCCAGTGTTCAGCTGGCTGAAATTCAATGGGAATTCAACCTGCCAATGGAACTCAACTTTAGCAATGCTGCAGCGGCTGCACATGCAGCAGAGGGCCATCAATGAGTACCTGTGTGAATAGGGCACAAGGACAGGCTCAGGGGAGCTTGGCTTCTTTTTGCCATGCCAGTGGCTGCTGATAAAGCATGCATTCACTGTCTTGTCACCATTTGAGGAGGCCACAAGGATGGTGAGCCGCGACACTGCATGCATCAGCAACACTAGCCTTCTAGTCTTCCTGCTAGAGCAAACGCTGCATAGAATCATGGACAGGGAACTTGAGGCAGAAAAGCAGGAGGAAGAGGATGATTTCCTTGTCCTCTCAAGACAGAACACACAGACCACAGAACACACAGAAGGAGGAGGAAGAGGAGGAGGAGGATTGCAGCAGCATGAAAGTAGAGGATCACATACAGCAGTCTTCAAGAAGCGCTTTTCAGTCCCCAGAAACCCATCCAGAAGTAGTACGTGGTTGGGAGGAGGCAGTTCCTGACAATGTCATGCTAAGTGACCCAGAGGACTACTGCCTCCTCAAACCTATGCTGTATGGGCTCCCTGATTCTGCAAAACCTGTCTAAGGACCCGAGGATTTGTGTTATCAAGGAAAGGGTTCAATACTGGTCAGCAACCCTTCTTAATTCACTTTACAAGGGTAAAGTTGCAGAGCTCATCCAGTGTTCTCAGATGGAGCAGAGGATGAAACATCTTGAGGATGCCTTGAAAACAAATTTGTGTAACACCTTTCCAGACATTGGGAGGTTACCATTTCCTGGACAACGTGTATCTGAGGCTTCGTTCTGTCAAAGGAAGAGCGGTGGAGAAGGCGGCCGGCTGACTGATGCCTTTAAACAGTTCTTTAGTCCTCAGCACCAAGGACTGTTAGGTTTAAGCACCCATCAGCAGCGTCTGCACCATATGGTGCAGGATTATCTAGGCGCAAGAGCAGACTGAGACCTTTCCAAATGAGCATCGACTGGGTTACTGGGTCTTGAGGCTGGATCGCTGGCCAGAACTTAATCAATATGTCATCGAGCTACTGGCCTGTCCTGCATCCAGCGTGCTTTCTGAACGGACATTCAGTGCTGCTGGAGGTTTTGTGATGGATAAAAGAATGCATCTGTCTACAGACTCCATTGACATTTATCAAAATGAATCAGTCCTGGATTAACAGCAACTACAGTGGGGCAAAAAAGTATTTAGTCAGCCACCATTTGTGCAAGTTCTCCCACTTAAAAAGATGAGAGGGGCCTGTAATTGGCATCATAGGTAGACCTCAACTATGAGAGACAAAATGAGAAAAAAAATCCAGACAGACAATCACATTGGCTGATTTGGAAAGAATTTGTTTGCAAATTATGGTGAAAATAAGTATTTGGTCAATATCAAAAGTTCATCTCAATACTTTGTTATATATCCTTTGTTGGCAATGACAGAGGTCAAACGTTTCCTGTAAATCTTCACAAGGTTGGCACACACTGTTGCTGGTATGTTGGCCCATTCCTGCATGCAGATCTCCTCTAGAGCAGTGATGTTTTGGGGCTGTCGCTGGGCAACACGGATTTTCAACTCCCTCCAAAGGTTTTCTATGGGGTTGAGATCTGGAGACTGGCTAGGCCACTCCAGGACCTTGAAATGCTTCTTACGAAGCCACTCCTTCATTGCCCGGGCGGTATGTTTTGGGATCATTCTGATGAAAGGAGGTTTGCACTCAAAATCTCACGATACATGGCCCCATTCATTCTGTCCTGTACATGGATCAGTCGTCCTGGTCCCTTTGTGGAGAAACCGCCCCAAAGCATGATGTTGCCACCCCCATGCTTCACAGTAGGTATGGTGTTCTTTGGATGCAACTCAGCATTCGCTCTCCTCCAACCCGTCGTGTTTCTACCAAACAGTTCTATTTTGGTTTCATCTGACCATATGACATTCTCCCAATCCTCTTCTGGATCATCCAAATGCTCTCTAGCAAGCTGCAGACGGGCCCGGACATGTACTGGCTTAAGCAGGGGGACACGTCTGGCACTGCAGGATCTGAGTCCCTGGCGGCGTAGTGTGTTACTGATGGTAGCCTTTGTTACGTTGGTCCCAGCTCTCTGCAGGTCATTCACTAGGTCCCCCCGTGTGGTCCTGGGATTTTTGCTCACTGTTCTTGTGATCATTTTGACCCCACAGGGTGAGATCTTGCGTGGAGCCCCAGATCGAGGGAGATTATCAGTGGTCTCGTATGTCTTCCATTTTCTAATTATTGCTCCCACAGTTGATTTGTTTACACCAAGCTGCTTGCCTATTGCAGATTCAGTCTTCCCAGCCTGGTGCAGGTCTACAATTTTGTTTCTGGTGTCCTTCGACAGCTCTTTGGTCTTCACCATAGTGGAGTTTGGAGTGTGACTGTTTGAGGTTGTGGACAGGTGTCTTTTATTCTGATAACAAGTTCAAACAGGTGCCATTGATACAGGTAATGAGTGCAGGACAGAGGAGCCTCTTAAAGAAGAAGGTACAAGTCTGTGAGAGCCAGAAATCTTGCTTGTTTGTAGGTGACAAAATACTTATTTTCCACCATAATTTGCAAATAAATTATTTCCAAATCAGCCAATGTGATTGTCTGGATTTTTTTTTCTCATTTTGTCTCTCATAGTTGAGGTCTACCTATGATGCCAATTACAGGCCTCTCATCTTTTTAAGTGGGAGAACTTGCACAATTGGTGACTGACTAAATACTTTTTTGCCCCACTGTATCTTGCCGCTGATGCTGATGTAACTGATTACATTTGTGAGGGATCTGGGATCCCTTGAAGACTGCCTGTGTTGCCTATCCTATTCCTGAATCCTGATTTTGCTAGCTTCCAAAACTTTTTTCGGTTTAGGGCACCACCAACACCCAAGGCTAAATTTTTTCAGCACCTGTTTTACAGGTGCATCTAATTTAAAATTTTCACCACTTTTCTCTAATTGTTAACATTTTTTAACTGCAGGGCCCATTCCTGCCTCCAGCAATAGTAACTGTGAGGAGTTACAGTGTTCAGGCACCACCAACACCTAAGGCGCAATTTTTCTGTAGCTGTATGACAGGTGCATATAATTAGAATTTTTAGAGCAGGGTTCAGTCCTGCACTCGTCAAGAATAACTCTGAAGGGTTACAGTGTGAAGGCACCACCAACTGTTCGCCTGCCAAACACCCTGCAATGCACTGTGCTCCCACAGTGCACAGTATCCACCCCACACTATATACTGTAAGACAGAGGGGAGAATACTTTCCCCAAAAAACAAAAAATTAAATAAAGAATAATAATTAAAAAAAATAACATAAGCAAAAAATACATTAAGAAAACAAATCTGTTTTTTTAACCGCTAGCCTACAGGGCACTTATACCCCCTTCCTGCCCAGGCCAATTTCCAGCTTTCAGCGCTGTCGCACTTTGAATGACAATTGCGCAGTCAAACAACACTGTACCCATATGAAATTTTTATCTTTTTTTGTGACAGATAGAGCTTTATTTTGGTGGTATTTAATAACCTCTGGGTTGTTTATTTTTTCTTAAAACAAACCAAAAACCACTGAAAATTTTGGAAAAAAAAAAGTTTTTCTTAGTTTTTGTTATAAAATTTTGTAAATAAGTGATTTTTCTCCTTCACTGATGTGCGCTAATGAGGCTGCACTGATGGGCACTGATAGGCTGCACTGATGGACACTGATAGGTGGCACTGATGGGCATTGACAGGCATCACTGATGGGCACTGAAAGGCAGCACTGATACATGGCACTGATAGGCAGCACTGATAGGCGGCACTGACTGGCACTGTTAGGCGGCACTGACTGGCACTGTTAGGAGGCAATGGCAGGCACTGATAGGCGGCACTGATGCGCACTGATAGGCAGCACTGACTGGCACTGATAGGCGGCACTGACTGGCACTGATAGGTGGCACTGATTGGCAGCACTGACAGGTGGGCACTGATTGGCATTGATAGGTGGCACTGATGGGTGACACTGAAAAGCAGCTCAGATGGGCACTGATATGTGGCATTGATGTGCACTGGTAGGCACTGATATGTGGCAATGATGTGGCACATGGCACGAGGCACTGATGAGCACTGACATAAGGCACTGATGGACACTGACAGGTGGCACTGCTGGGGCTACACTGATCATCAGGGCACACTGATCATACTGGCTCTCCTCTCGAGTTGTCAGCATGACAGCTCGAGAGGAGAGAAATGCAGATAACCGGCATTTCCCTGTTTACATGTGATCAGCTGTGATTGGAAACAGCTGATCACATGACCGAGCTGATATCTTTGGCTCTTTCCGTGATCAGTGATCCACGATGTCTGAGGGGGACAGCGCACCGCCGATCGTCGCGCTGCGCAATCCCTGAGCCGCGCATGCGCAGTGAGAATGGGAGGACGTCATATGACGTCCTCCCAGAACGAGAGAACCACCTTGCGCCCATCATATTACTATATGGCGGGTGAGAGGTGGTTAATAAACATGCACATGCCATTCCTGCTGCAGCAGCTTCTATACATTGTACAGGTGAGCAACTTTGCAGGTAGTTTATGGGGACCTCCCAGGCATGATATTTAACCTCTTGGCGTCGGCCGCACACAAATGTGCGACCTCCCGGCGTCTGGGCCTTGACGCTGAGTGGCCGCACATTTGTGAGCAATTAAAAAAAACATATGTGCTGAGAGCGCGCCCTACGCGTGCTCCCAGCACACATGTCTGGTACTCATGGAAAGGTCCCGATCTCCTCTTTCGATAGGGACCTTTCTCGATCATGTAACTACCATGACGGCGAATCACGGCGGTCACATGACCCTAAAACCCCGCCCCACCTCCTGAGTTCTGAAACCCTTAAAGGAACGGGAGGCGCCGGCACCAAACGGTTAAGGGAATTTTTCATTTTTTTTTACTTTAAGTAATGAAAAATGACTGCCCCTTTAAAAATTGTACTTTTTGAAAAAAAACATTTTTCATTGATTCCTGTCCCTTAGGGCAGTACCTGAGTCCCCATACCACTTTTATGGCCAATACCTTGCATATAAGCTTCAAAATGGGCACTTTTGAATTTGCAAGTTAGAGTTCCATAGACTTGCAGCAGGTTCGATGTTCGCAGTGAACTTTTGGTCCGTTCAAATGTTCTACTGTGAACCAAACTGGGGGGTGTTTAGCCCATCTCTACAGGTGAGTATGGGGGGCAAATGTTTTTAACCTTAATGCATAGAATGCATTAAGGTAAAAAACCTTCTGCTTTTATAACCAGTTTAATGATGCATTTGTAAGGGTGTGGGGCGTGGATAAATACTGATGTGCAATGTTTAAACTGCAATATGCTCTTTGGTCAGTAGATGGCAGCAAAGTACAAGAATCGATTTTGCATTGAGGTTTACAAAGATAAAAACTAATGTTTATTTACCTTATAAAGTTTAATGAATGCTAATTTAGGGGCCAAGTAGGACCCTCAGAAGGGTCATAGTGAACTGTAAATGCAGGTTTGAGGCTGCAATTAGGAAATTACTTACTGCATCACAAACTCTCTGGGAAGGGGAGGAGTTCCAGTGGAGAGCAGGAAGTGAGAGGGGTTCTGTGTCTGGCTGGTGTATGCTGAGGACATCTGAAGAATCTGTGTGGAGCCTGGAAGAGGATTTACGGCTCACAGTGGAGTCTGGCGACGGCACCTAGGGCAGATTCACCGTGACAAGACCGGGAAACAAGTGAATGTATGTTCCGGTTCTGGAGTGGACCAGTGGATCAGGAAAAAGCACCAAGAGCCTGCTAAGGAACTGTAAGTGTGGCTTTGCCGCAGCACATGGCACCACACGTGTTCAGTGACATTTTGGATATACCAGAAAGCAACAAGAGACATACTCCACTTTCCTTTGGATTACAAATAGTATTACGCAATACTTAGGGTGCACCCCAACATTATATCTTGCTCAGGAACATTCAGGCGCAGCCAGGCTGCTTTCTGGACATTGAGGGAAAGTCCGCAAGTACGGGGTCAGTGTTAGACAGTATTATTCTTACTGTATGGTTTTGCGCTGTTATCATTCTGTTTATGTATGCTCAACTACTTGTTCACTATAACTGTTCAGTAAACGTAATTGTTGTAAAAGAACCGCTGTCTGTGTGGCATCGTGTTCCCTCTGAATCTGTGGGCCCAGACCTCGGATCTCTTTCACATTCACATCTTACTACTTGGAATGAGTCGACCTGCCCCAGGTTCGGTTTGAGCAAGGTTTGGCAAGTTCGGACCCGAAAAACCCATTGAAATCAATGTGAGCCAAATCTGTCAAATATATATATATAAATATATAATTTTTTTTTTTTTTTAAATTGTCAGTCTTTTTTCGTTTATATTGCAAAAAATAAAAAAGCCAGAGGTGATCAAAATTCAACCAAAAGAAATCTCTATTTGTGTAAATAAAAGGATATAAATTTGGTTTGGACGCAGCATTGCATGACTACACGATTGTCAGTTAAAGTAACACAGTGCAAAATAGCAAAAAATTACCTGATCAGGAAGGGGGTAAATCCTTCCAGAGGTCAAGTGGTTATTACATAGGGGATTTTTGTATGTTTTTAGAAGTGTATTATTTGATCCTTATTTAACTTCTTTTTTTTTTTTTATATATTTGTAGTTACATATTTAATTTGTGTCTGTCATGTCCGTCTTTTCTGCACTTTTATGGGAATAATTTTGTTGTTTGCATGTTGTCTGAACAGCCCTTTTCTTGGACACTTTTGTAAATAAGACATATAAAGATTTTCATTTTCAAATAATCTGAATGAATCCCAACTGAAAGCCTATTTTCCTTAGCAACTTTTGTATGGTAGTATCTGAAAATATTGCTATTTTAGTTGCATGGAGGAAATATACATCAAGGGGGTGAATAAGGTTCAGGAGTGCAGTATTTTCAACATGAAACTAAATTTAAGAACACAGGGACCTGACCTTAAATTAATTGGAGGAAAGTTTAAAACTAATCTCAGAAAGTACTATTTTACTCTTTAGTAGTTGACGCTTGGAATAAACCTCCAGCAGAGGTAGTGAGCCAGTCAATAGTAAATAGCCTCAAGCATGTTTGGGACAAGCATAGATCTATACTTAGATAAAAAAGTTAACAAAACAAAAAAAAAAAAACAACCCCCCCCCCGAAAAAAAAAAAAATAGGCAGACTCTATGGACCACCCTGTCTTTTTCTGCCATCACTTTTCTGTTTCTACATACCATTCTGTATAAATATTAACCATGACACTATCCTGTAAACACTGCTAGTTTTTCATCATGCCTAGTCCCAAATATACTGGCTACATTTGTTCTGATATTTTTATCCATACAAGAACAAAAGTTTACAAAATCATAAAAATCCAATGACATCATATTATATTTTAATGAGGGTGGACTAGTTATATTTTTGGAAATTTCACAAATCAAGAATGTGCTTCTTGGTTCATGAACAGTTAAGATAATTAAATTATGACCCCTGTGTACAGTATATGAAGGGCCTTCCTCCCTTCAAGTCCTACACAAGCCTTCTGTGTTTACAGAATCTTCATTAACCAAGAAGTTCAATGTGATAAGGCTAATTGATGCACTGCAATCCAACTCCAAGATAGGGAGCAGTGAACATTTTGGTCTGGTTGGTAACTGACAGTCGCTAGAAGAAAAGAAAAAAAAATATCCAAAGACACAACACGCCTTAGTCCTGCCAAATCCACGCACAGTGCTTAGAGGAACTTATTAAATATTGGATCTGCTCAGGAGCATCGGACCATAAAAGACAAAGTTAATACGTTTACATATAATGTGGGGTTCCAGAATACCAGAGTTTGGCACTCTCTTGGTCCTCCTAGCAAGATTTACATTCCCCAGACCTTTGCCGGATTGGGAACAACAGCATCATGAAGGAGAAGAGTTGAACCAGAGCTTATTTAGTGGGCAGAAGGTAGAGGGTCTAACAACAGTCTGGAATTTATCAAGTGCATCAACAACTGTGAAGCCAAAGATGAAGCTACCCCAGTACATGATTGATCTCTACAACCAATATGCTGATGACAGGACGTCAATGCCAATGGCTAACATAATCAGGAGCTTTGATGTTGAAGGTAGGTAGATACCAAAATGTTACTAGTAAAATTTGACCCCCATCTTGCTTATAGACTCTACACAGAAAGAACAGTGAAGTCAATCTAGAAAGTGTTTATTGCATATGTTTGCACTGTCATCTAAGAAGTTGTCATCCATGGGTAGAGTGTTTACAGAACAATAAACAAGATCATGCCCATTCGCTAATGACATAAATGTTAAAATAAGGCAGTGAGTAAAGCCATAAGGACAAAAGTTTAGTACCCATATCAATACATAAAAAAATCATCTTAAACCTCTTCGGCTTTACTGATATGAAATCTGAATGACCACTATGAGGCACTGTACTTTGCACCACATTAATAAAAATAATAAATGATAAAAATTGTATCTACTGGTGTATTAACACATTAGAAAGCAGAATGTTAATCATATGATATAAATTCTGTATAGGATAACAGTTAAAAACATGGCTGTTATATAATATGACATGTGCATGTGTTTAATAAGCATACATAGTCTTGGCCAAAAACATTGGCACCCCTGCTTTTCTGTTACATAATGCACCACTTTGCCCAGAAAATTGTAGCAATTACAGATGTTTAGGCATTCTCATGTTTATTCCTTTTGTTTGTATTGGTATGACACAAGAAAGAGGAGAAATAAAAAGCCAAATGTGACACATTCCACGCAAAACTCCAAAAATGGACTGGAAAAAATTTGTGGCACCCTCAATGTAAAATTTGGTAGCATACCCCTTGGAAAAAATAACTGAAGCTAATCACTTCCTGTAACCATCAATGAGTTTCTTCCACCTCTCTACTGGAATTTTGGACCCCTCTTTCACCAACTGCTCCAGGTCTCTCAGATTGGAACGTTTCTTTTGCCAACTGCTGTTTTCAGATCTCTCCACAGGTACTCTATGGGATTGAGATCTGGACTCATTGCTGGCCAATTCAATACTCTCCAGCGCTTTGTCTTAAACCATTTCTGGGTGCTTTGTGATGTGTGCTTTGGGTCATTGTCATGTTGTAAGAAACCATGACTTCTGATGGAGACCCAACTTTCTGACACTGGACCCTACATTGCACCCCAGAATTCTGTGGTAATCTTCAGATTTCATAGTGCCATGCACACATCAAAACATCCAGTGCCTGAAGCAGCAAAACAACCCCAAAACATCAGTGAACCTCCACCATGTTTGACTGTAGGGACTGTCATTTTTTCTTTAAAGGCCTCATTGTTTTTTTTTTTTTTAAAACAGTAAAATGATGGGCTTTACCAAAAATCTTTTGTTTCGTC